GGGCCCGCGGATTTGGCTCCTGATTTGGGGCCGTCTCTGCCTTGCAGATTAAGTACACGGGCTTCAGGGACCGGCCCCACGAGGAGCGCCAGGCGCGCTTCCAGAACGCCTGCCGCGACGGCCGCTCGGAAATCGTAAGTCGGCGGGGCCGGGGCGCGGGGACCGCGACGCGCGCGGATCACTTGTTGCGCGGGGGGCCGTGCCACGGCCCAGGCCGGTTCCGGACGGCGCCGCGGCTCCCGGAACTGAGCGGGCGCCGTCTCACTTCCTACTGGGGATTCAAAATGTGAAACCAGACGCTGGCGGGCCCGTCCTCGCGGGGAGACGCCGTCCCCGTGGCCCGCCGCGGTGGCTTCTGTTTCCCAGAGTCTGCTCAGCGAACAGTTCACCGCCAGTGGAGCTCCGACCCGAGCCAAACTGCACAGGGGAATGTCATTGTATAGGCGGTGACGCGGATTAAGGGTTCAGGGAACTGGTAGTAAGCAGAAAACACCCATTCGGAGAAAGAATTGGGTCTGCATTCTAGATCGGCGACGGTTGGTTTCTTAGGAGATGGTTTGTTGGTAAGTGTATGTGAAGCTTTCTCCTGGTGAAGCTAAGAATAAATCTTTATCCCAGTTATCTATATCCTAATAGGGAGGAGGGAGAAGAAAAACCTAGAGGATCTTTTCGGTGAAGTCTCAGAAGAATCAGAAAGTAACCATTTTCGTCCTTTTTCTAACCTTAATGAGTCGTGTGACGGTTCCTAAAGAATTGCACTCACGGATATGTGCAACCCGCATGTGGTGCCTCGCCTCCATCAAACCTTGGGTTGAAAAAAATCCAAGATTCTTAGTTTTACTCATCTCCTTTTGGTTTGTCCGATTGGAGGTGCTAATGAGGTGGAAATGGTAGGAAGAAACTAAACAGCAGAGCTTGATTATTTAAAAATTAAAAGAAAGTGAAATCACCGTACAGTGGAATCCTGTTATCTGTTTGGGCCCATTGCATTGGTGGAGACTTGAAGCTATGATGCGGTTAGAATTTGGGTTAACAGTAGGAAGACATATTGGAAAATATACTCCTCCCACCCACTTTATGATCAGTTTATTGTATTAAGATATAATTCACATACTGTAAAATTCTCCCTTCGCACATGGAAATCGGCTTTATTTTTAAAGAATATTTTTATATTTAGAATGAAAGTTTTTTTAAAAAACTGTTTTACAGATAGAGGATATTGATCATTAATGCATACTGTAAAAGAAAATCTCCATCTTTTAGCCCAATTTCCAAGTTTGTTGTGTAGCAGTAAGATTGCTGTAATTCAAGTGTATAAGACAGATATTTTTTGGTTTTGGCACTGAGTGTTGAAAGAAAAAGTACAAGTCATTAGTTGGTCCAGAGACTGACTTTCCATTTGCCATGGTGGCAAAAGGTGGATGGTATACCTGACCAGAAGGTTTCCTGGAGGTAATTGATGGAAGTGTAAAAGATGAGATACCGAGTACAGTCATTTTTTTTAAAGCTGAGGTATATAGGAAATCTAATGAAGTATAACTGTAGAGTGTTTTTCTTTTTCTCTCTCTGCATGCGTATATATATATATATATATATATATACACATATACACATACATACACATACACACACATATTTTTTGAAGAATTATTTAATTTTACTTATTCATCAGTTATTTTAATTTGACCAGAGAGAGACACAGAAAAAAGGGAAAGTGAGAAAGCAAACTACCAGGTCTGGGACTCAAACCCTGGACAGCCATGTGGTAGTGTCCAGCAGCTTAACCACCATGCCACCTGCTAGCCCCATATACATATATTTTTTAATTGCTAGAAGGTATGTGTGCTTGCCAGAGAGAGACAGAGAGAGGAGAAAGCATCCCCCCTCCATGTAGTCATTCTCAGTCCCTTCTCCACTTCTCCATCATGTTGGGCACATGCACCCTGTGTGTTTTTATACACTGTGAGGGCCAGGATTTGGAGCCGAGATTTATATCCATGGTCAGCCATGTGGGATCTGACTCCCTTAACCACTAGGTTATGGGGCCAGTCCAAGTCATATCAGATTTTATTGTGTGTAATTATGAATTGGAGGTATAATTCTACCCACAGTATATCTAAATTGCTGTTTTATAATAATAATGCTGTAATGCTATGGCTGTGTAACAGGTCATTTGTATTTGTCCTGAGTTTCTTTCTAAGATGAATTAGACATTCCAGGTCTTTCTCCCCTTCAAATATATGATGCTGCAAATTTGAATGTTTTTAATTTTTGACAACTATTCAAGATTAAAGAAGGTAGACTAAATTCTGTGTAATCCTTGCACTAAAATGGCACATGTTTTATTTTGTCAAATGATGTAGCTATTTGTATTTGGCAAGGAATTTCCATTTTAGTCTCTTTCTGTTTTCCCCTCTTTAATTCAATGTTATTCGTATTTAAATTATAGGATCCTTAGCTCCTAAGGGGTGGGGATTCTATAAAGGTTCTTTGCACAATGCCTTTTGCACCATGGGTACTTGATTATTTGAATTTAGAGGTTACTTAATTTAATGCCTGAAATTTATCTATGACTTATGAACGGGCTGTGGTATCTACCTATTAACTTGTAGGAAAGGTGTTATTTTGCCTCTGTTTTGATAACTGCCATGTACAGTAAGAATATAATCATTGTCTTTTTAATTATTTAATTTTATTCATTATTATTTCATTTTTGAGAAGTTTTTGCTATAGGGCGTGTGTGCTCTCCAGAAAGAGAGACAGAGAGACAGTGAGAAATCAACCCCTGCGGGGATGGCCATGCTGCAATCCCTTCTCCTCCATTCTCCTCCTGGGATCTCAGGCACATAAGCACACGTGCCTGGCGTGAGTTTAAGCCACCGGGTCCGTGACTTGAACTGTGGTCGACTACATGGGAGTCCAGAGACATGGCCATTAAACCAACTGCTGTCCCATTATTACTATTTTTTCATTTGCTATGGGGCACATATGCCCAGGAGAGAGAGAAAGGAAATTGCCAGTTCTGGGACTTTAACCATGATCGGGTCTGTAGGAGTCCAGCACCTCAACCACCACGCCACCTGCTGTCCCCGGAGAATATATATAGTTTTCAAAACTATTCCCAATTCTCTTCTGCCCCAGTTGCCTTTCTTTCCTTCATTTTTTAAAAAATTTGAGCATCTTAATATATCAAAGATTAATGAATTTACTTTGCGTTTAGATTTGAAAGAATTTAAGAGGTGTGATGCTCATTACTCCTTTAACTATTGATATAAAATTCAAACTCCTGAGCCATCTAGTGGCTGGTAGGCAGCTGGAGCCCACATGGCCAACCTCATGGTTCGAATCCCAAGCCCACAGCATGTTTTTCACAGGGTGCATGTGCATGCATGCCCAGAGTCCTGAAAGGGAGAAGAGATGAAGGAGGAGGGACTGTGGTGTGACCATTCCCCATGGAGAGTGCTTTCTTACTTTCTTTCTCTGTTCCTCTCAGGGGAGTGTAAGCCCCTCTGGTAAAATAAAAAACATTCATACTCCTTATTATAGCATGAAATAAAAATGCTTATGGATGAGTGATATAGTCTGTTTATTCAATAGTAAAATCTGTTTTATTTCTCTTATGAGTTCTTACAGTCATAAGACTATTAGAGATGTTTCAACAGTAGTAATAAAAGAAAAAATATTTTTGATGCTGCAAATTGGAATGTTTTTGCTTTTTTTTAATTTTAGAAAGTGCCATGGGGCACATGCACTCACAGAAAAGAGACAAGTAGCGAGAGAGGAAAAGCGAGAAATCACTTCCTAGGGGTTGGTGTCCGTGCACAATCTCTTTTCCTCCAGTCTCCACTCTAGGCTTTGGGGCATGCATGCAGATGCATGTGGCGTGTTTTTCAAGCTGCCAGGTCCAGGACTCAGAATGACACAATGGGCCATGTAGAATCCTGTGCCTTAATCACCATGGCACATTCTGGATCAAAGTAATTTATATGTTTGTGTGTGTGTGGTGTATACACACACACACACACACACACACTATTTAATTTTAGTTACTTACTTTTTAATTTGCTATAGGGCATGTGCACTCACCAGAGAGAGACAGAAAAGAGAGAGAGGTCTGGGTTGGCTGTGTGTGAATCTAGCACCTTAACTATCATACCACCTGCTAGCCCCAGTAATTTATTTATTTACTTATGTGTGTGTGTATGTGTGTGTAATTTTTTTTTATTTTTTTTTATTTTTTTTAACGTATAGGGTGTGTGCACTTGTCGGAGAGACAGAGAGAAAGTGAGAAATCACCCCCCTTGTGGGGATGGCCATGGCGCGCGGTCCCTTCTCCGTTCTCCTCTTGGGACTTTGAGCATTCACACACATGCGCTCGGCGTGAGTTACAAGCCACTGGGTCCAGGACTCAAACTGTGGTCAACTACATGGGAGTTCAGCGACATAACCATTATGATCCTAGTAATTTATATTTTTAATCCTGATGATTGAATGCTGTAAAAAAAAGTCTGTTGTGTTAGTACAAGGTATACTGTTTTATAATTTATAAAACCTATAAAATATAGCCAGAACAACATGGAAATGTTACATATGAACGTTATACTATCATAGCATTTTAATTTTTTCTAACAATTTTCCCAGCTCTTACATATGTGTAGGTATTCCATTAAAAAAAAAGAATTCCGTGGTCAAATAAGTTTAAAAAATGCTGTTTGAAAATGATCTGTTTTTACCACTTCTGCCTCAGAGGGGGATCTTGATGAGATAATGGGCATAAAGTGATGAAGCAGGAAATCTCTTCTGAGGTTGGCATTCAGACAGGAGGTGAGGTAATAGAATCTGCAGTGTCTTAGCACAGAGCTGATTTGAGGATACAATGGTGGTAGAAGGATCTGCTACTAGGTGAATACTGAAGAAACATGCCACAAGGATTTTGATACAGAGCGTTTATTCATGACCCGAATCTCTTATCTGCCACCATTCAGGTCTGAGAATTTCATTATCTCAGGATGAAAAAATTGACTCTCTTGAGTTCAGAGTTATTTCTCTTATATACCATTTACTTCACACTGTTGTAGGCATGTTACAGATATTTATAAGGAAACTGAGTGATCTTCAGATCCTGTAGCCTAGGCAGTTTCTCTCTCAGAAGTCTGCTTTTCATTTTAACTAATTCTAATGGGGCTTTTGTTGATAAAGCTTATGCTAATAGTGCATGAAAAGATTTTTTTATAAAGGTTAATCTTGTAATATTGATGTTCAGTTTCTAGTCGTAATAAATATATACTGCAAGAAAAAAGTATCTATGGGGCCAGCAGGTGGTGTGGTGGTTAAGGGCACTGGACTCCCACATGGCTGACCATGGTACAAGTCCCGGACCTGGAAGCTTGCTTTTTCACTCTCTCACTCTGTCCCTCTGGTCAAGTTTTAGAAACAAAAATAAAATGAAGTTGACTAAAATAATTGTTAAAAAAGAATATCAACAAGTTGACTAGAGAAATGCCATCAAAGAAGTCTAGAGATTTAACAGTTAGATTGACAAATGTACCTACAGTACCAGTAATAGAAATAGAAAGTATAATTTTTACCTCTGAAGTGTCTAAGTTGTTTATCATCAGGGGACCTAGTGCCTGAACTGGCTGATGACTTTAAACAAATTGTCCAAAATGTATATAAACCTCTTTCAGATGAAAACTCTGCTTGGAAACAGATTGTGTTTCAGAACTTAATTAGTAAAATGAAACATACAAAATCTTTCCCTGGTTTCAACAGAGTTTACATTTAAATGAAAAAAAAAATGTTAAGGCCAGCAGGTGGCGTGGTGGTTAAGGTGTTGGACTACCACAAGGTTGACTGCAGTTCAAGTTTCAGACCTGGCAGCTTGAAACTCATGCAAGGGCATGTGCATGAATGCTCAGAATCTTTTTTTTAAGGAATTTTTTTTTAGGAGGTTTTTACTATAGGGCACATGCGCTCGCCAGACAGAGACAGAGAGACAGAAAGCAAGAAATCACCCCCCAGGGGGGATGGCCACGCCACAATCCCTTCTCCTCCATTCTCCTCTCGGGATCTTGGGTACGCATGCACAGGTGCCTGGCGTGAGCTTTAAGCCACCGGGTCTGGGATGCAAACCACGGTCGACTACGTGGGAGTCCAGTGACAGCCATTGTGCTAACTGCTGGTCCCAATGCTCAAAATCTTGAAAGGAGAATGGAGAGAAGGATTTGCAGTATGGTCTTCCCCAGGAACAGGGGTGGGGGTGATTTCTCACATTCTCTCTGGCACATACCCTTTGGCAAAAAAAAAAAAAAAACAGTAATTTTTCGAAAATGCTCTTCCCTTATTACCTTATATTTTTCTTCCCGAATTTCCCTCGGAAAGAGGAGTAATGAAAATGTTATTTTATTTCTTACATGGGGAAAATGTAGAGTTAAATTGCTCAGGGGCTACACAGAATGACACTTTATTAAAATGGTTTTAGATTGTTCTGTTTGTTGAGCTGTACTATCCAAATCTTTTATAAATATTAAATGAATGCTCTTCTCTTTGTTATAGTCAGGTCTAGTTCTCCTAAAGCCAAATTTTAGAAACCACATATTTTTTTAATCATCTCAGGTCTTAGAGACAAGTACTGTCACATCACATGCTAATATAATTTATCATCGGAGGGACAGTTCCAAATGCATTTTCTAACATGGGCTTTAGAGCCCGTGTTTAAAAATGCACCATATAGTAAATTTAAAAAAAAAAAAAAAAAAACTACTATGTACCACGTAGTGTTTCATTGAGCAAAGGGAAATCGAGAAAAATTGAAATATCTCATTTTACAACTTTAAATTTTTAGTATACTTTATAATTGAACATCTTCATATCTTCAGTGATTTTCAGAGTTTAAAATATAAGTTTTTAAATGCAAGGATGGCGGCTTCTGGTTACATATTAGCAATATGAGATCTAACGTCAGCAAAAAAAGAACTGAAAGAAAGTATTGATTCCATGTCTGATTTTATATTTAAGCAGCCAATGGCAAATGTCCTCAAAATGGAATCAGATGTTTGTAACTTAATACTTAAGAAAAATGATGAGTGCATGTTTTTTACTTTTAAGTATTCTCAGTGCTGCCTGGCTTAAGACATAAACTGATGTAAAAATAAATGACTGCCTGCATAATTTATGTAATGTCCTGCTCCTGATCCTGTTTGTATTGATTTTTCTAAAAGGCTTTTGTGGCCACAGGAACCAATCTGTCTCTCCAGTTTTTTCCGGCCAGCTGGCAGGGAGAACAGCGACAAACACCTAGCCGGGAGTATGTCGACTTAGAAAGAGAAGCAGGCAAGGTAGGATACATTTCTTTGCTATTTAAAATATTGTGGATTGTTTTATTAGAAATGATCTGATGACTTAGTAAAGAGATCACACGTTTCTATTAAAATACAGGCATTTGATAAGATTGGTTTTGTTTTCATTCCATGTTACAAGGATGTAATACACTTTTTAAAAATTACTGTTAAACTCTTATGTTATTCCATTACTGATTTCATGTATAGAATGTTCATCATAGAAAGTTCTTGTCCTTAAAGTAGTGTGCTTTTGTAGATTTAACATTTTATGTTTACTAAAATATATGACTACAGCGCTCCAAAAAATGAAATTAAGAGAAAAATTAGAACAGGTTCTGTCGGCTTAATAATTAATAATATTTAGAAGTAGCTTATGGGTAACTTTCTAAATCTGTTAAATAGCCAATTTTATCTTGAGAAAAATAATGTGAAAACTTTAACTTTCAGTTTTTTTTCCTTCCTCAGAGTTTCTGGCAAGACAAATAGATGTCTTACGATTTTTAATTTGGAAGTTCAGGTTAAAGATCTAAAAAAGTAAATGGAGATTTTTAAGCTGAGAGCCCTATTAAAATCAAAGTTAAATGTATTATATGATTTTGATAGAATTTTAATAAATAGTATTTTTGATTTGGTTGATCCTTGATTAAGAAGCCAAGGAGCTGACTTGTTAAAATTTTTAAAGAAAAAAAAAATTTGAATTCAGTTTTATACTCAGTTTCTCTTGTTTTCTTTACAGTATTTCTTTCTTTCATTTTTTTAAAGAATTATTTAACTTTATATATTCATTTATTTATTTATTTTAATTTGACCAGAGAGGGACCGAGTGAGAGAAAGAGAGAGTGAGAAAGCAAGCCACCAGATCTGGGACTCAAACTGCAGTCAGCCATGTGGGAGTCCAGTGCCCCCAACCACCACGCCACCTGCTAGCCCCATGTTTCTATTCCTGTTTCTGTCAATCAGCTTGCTAAATTACTTTCCTAAGTGGTTGTCACCAACAGCAAAACCTGTCACTTTATTTAAACAAGACATAAGAAACATCTATATACTCCTTCAAGAAAAAAAAATTTTTTGTATTAAAAGGATTTCTGGGCAGCTCTGTGAGTTGGTAGTTAAGGCAGCTAGGTCCCACATGGCTTACCAAGAGATTAGAGTCCCAGACTCAGTGGCTTGAAAAGTACTCTCAGTGCATGGTTATACGTGCCCAAAGTCCCAACAGGGTAGAGAGGGGTAGGAAAAGGGATTGCAACGTGACCATTCCTCATGGTGGGGTGCTTTCTTCTTATCTCCCACTCCTGCAAGTACATATGCCCTGTGGCAAAAAATTAAAACTTAAAAAAAAATATAATCTTGTATATATACAATGAAGATTTCTTTTTAATTTTTTGAAATTAGGTTTGAACTTTTTTTTTTCTTTTTCTGGAGAGGTTTTGCTATAGGGCATGTGTGCTCGCCAGACAGAGAGAGACACAGAGACAGAAAGCGAGAAATCACCCCCCAGGGGGGATGGCCACACCGTAATCCCTTCTCCTCCATTCTCCTCTCGGGATCTTGGGCACACATGCACACACGCCCAGCGTGAGTTTAAGCCACCGGGTCCGGGACTCAAATTGCGGTCGACTACGTGGGAGTCCAGTGACATAGCTATAATGTTAACTGCTGGTCCCAGGTTTGAACATTTTTAAAAAAGATTTATTTATGCTGCCAGCAGCGTGGCATGGTGGTTGAGGATACTAGGCTCCCACGTTACTGACCACGGTTTGAGACCTGGACCTGGCAGCTTGCTTTCTCACCCCACCCCACCCCCGTTGCTCTGTCCTTCTCTGGTCAAATTTAAGCAAATAAATAAATAAAGTAAATAAAGTTAAATAAAATAATTCTTTAAAAAAAAAAAAGATTGATCAATGGGACCAGCAGGTAGTGTGGTGGTTAAGGCTGTGGACACTTCCACATGGCCAACCACGGTTCAAATCCCAGACCTGGTCGCTCTTTCTTTCTTTCTTTCTTTCTTTCTTTCTTTCTTTCTTTGTCTCTCTCTGGTCAAATTAAAATAAATGAATGAATAAATAAAATTAAATAAGTAATTCTTTTTAAAAAATTGATTGATTGATTGATTTAATTGCATTTGTTACTACTGTTTTTTAATTTGACCAGCGAAAGACAAAAAGGAAAAGGAAAAGAGAGAAAGCAAGCTGCCAGTTCTGAGACTCAGTCAGCAATCTGCCATGTGGGAATCCAGCGCTTTAACCGCCAAGCCACCTGCCAGCCCCAGGTTTGAACTTTTGTGGCTGACAAACCAGCTTATGTTTGGATTGGGAGATGGAACATAGATTACAGGATTTTAAAAATTAGTAATAATCAGGTAATTTGCTTTCTATGTACATTTACTGGTTTGCTTGGAAAATTGAAAGCAAATGTTTCAGATTTTACTGGTTGCTTATTCGTGTGTGTGTGTGTGTGTGTGTATATATTTATGTGTGTGTGTATATATGTATATGTGTGTATGTGTGTATATATATATATATATATACACACATACAGGAGAACTTGGGAAGTCATTATAGGACTTTTTAATTTTTTTGTCTGTTTGGTCCCTGTATGTGTGACTAAATGAAAACATTTTGTTTTTCTTTTTCAAAGCACTTTCTTAAAGTTTATTGAACATGTAGCTCAGATGCTAAAGGCATATTAATTAAAAAGTAAACAATAGTAAATTATTTTCCCTTCAGCTTTAGTGCTTAATTACTTAAAGTTTTAAGATTGACATCTCAAATGTTACTGAAGTCTTTTGGGATTTAATAACTAATAGGCCAGCCTTGGTGGCGCTTGCTGCTAATGCTGTGCTCCCCAGACTGGGGCCAGATAGGAGGTTCAGGTTGAGTTTCTTTTTTTTGGAGAGGTTTTTGCTACAGGGCGCATGCACTCGCTAGACAGACAGAGACAGAGAGACAGAAAGCGAGAAATCACCCCCCAGGTGGGATAGCCACACTGCAATCCCTTCTCCTCCATTTTCCTCTCGGGATCTTGTGCACGCACGCACACGCACCCGGCGTGAGTTTTAAGCCACTGGGTCCGGGCTGCGAACTGCGGTTGACTACATGCGAGTCCAGTGACATAGCCATTACGGTAACTGCTGGTCCCAGGTTGAGTTTCTGATCTAACCTAAAAGTTGTGCACAGTGGCGTACACCTAAAATCTCAGTCAGTTGGGGAGCTAAGGCAGGAAGATGGTGAGCTCAAGGCTGACCTCACAACATGATGACACCATGTCTTTAAAGAACAAGCAAACAAAAAAAGCCAATTACGGTGAGTGCCTGTAGTCCTGTCTAGGAGGCTAAGGTAAGAAAACAGTGACATTGTCAGTATGTCTTTTTAAAAAAACTTAAAACTAATATATGAGTTATTAACTCTACTACAATAGAAGGTATATTTCCTTGAATTAATTTAATGATATCTTCACTAGCTTGAAGACCACCTTATCCTGGTATTTAAATTATTGAAATGTCTTTAGTTGTATGAAGATGTGAAGTGACTTATTAATAGTATTTAGAAGATCTGTTTTCATGTCTATCAGAAAGTGATAGAACTGATGTAAGTAGTCAAGATATTTACTTTTTTTTTTTTTTTTAAGAATTATTTTATTTAACTATATTTATTTTAATTTGACCAGACAGGGAAAGGGGTAGAGAGAAAGAGAGTAAGAAAGCAAGCCACCAGGTCTAGAACTCGAACCATGGTAGGTCATGTGGGAGTCCAGCACCCTTAACCACCAAACTACCTGCTGGTCCCGATATTTATGTTTTTTTAAAAGAATTATTTATTTAGTTTTATGTATTCATTCTTTTTTTTTTTTTTTTTTTTTTTAATTTGACTAGAGAGGGACACACAGAAAGAGAAAGGGAAAGTGAGAAAGCAGTACGCCAGGTCCAAGATTTGAACCATGGTTGGCCATGTGGGAGTGTCCGGTTCCTTAACCACCATGCCTCCTGCTGGTCCCAATATCTATGTTTTATTAATACTGGTTTTAGAATTTTTTTCTGTGAAGAGACAAATATAAAATATGTTTAATTTTGAAGGTTTAGGGACTCTGTTGCAATATTTAACTCTGCTGTTGTCATTGAAAGGAGCCATAGATCGTGTATAAAGAAATGAGTATAGCTGAGTTCCAAGTGGTAACACTGGCAGAAAATCAGTAACGTTCCCTCAGCTGTAAACCTGTGTTTATATATAGGTATGCATAGTTTTGCCAATACTACACCATTTTAAGGCAAAAAGAAAAAACAAACAAACAAAAAAACATGTCATTTTAAGGCAAAAAAAAAAAAAACCAAAAAAAACCCACGTCATTTTAAGGAAAAAATAAAAAAAACCACAACTCCTAAGTATACTGCTAAAGCATTCCAGTGAATTTAGAGAAAAGGTACTGCTGCTGTCACTCTGTGTTTTCTCATCTCTGTACCTCAGACTATGAGGTCTCTTAATTCTCTTCCTTTCTTTTTACGGTCTTTTCCTTAAAACCATTAGATTTTGTTTTACTCCCCACAGGACTAGGTCTAAAAGCAAAGAAAATTGAAGAAACTTCCTCAAATGTTGCTTGCTTCTGCTCCTTATATTGGATTCCAGCCAATGTTTTTTTCTACATTCTGCCAACCTAGTTACCTCCTGAAGTAGCTTAGTTCTCTTCTGTTCATACCAGCTTTGAGAAATCTATAATGGTTAAGGTTTTGGAGGTAGGCATTATTGTGTTAAGTCCAGGCTTCATTTAGTACTTTATTTATTACTGTGTAACTTCAGGCAAGTTATTTACCATTATTGTTCTCAGTTGTAAAATGAGGTTATTGCATACTTCCCAAGTGGCCTAGTGATTAAATGAAATGTATATATAAGATGCTTCACCAGTATCTGACACAATTACTCAGGGTCTTTGTTGAACACTTGTTTTGTGTTCTGAGCATTGTCCTAGGCACTTGTGTTATATCAGTGAACAAAACAAAGCTCATA